TAAAAGTGGATATTCAGAAATTGAGTCTACATAGGCGATTTGATTGGGACCTGCCAGCCCTGTGCATTCTTCAAAACCACACAAAGATGAAACTCAGACCAGAGCCTTTAGCTCTTTATCAACTGCTTTAACTGCTTTGATCTTCCTTTTTTTTTTTTTTTTTTTTTTTTTTTTTTTTTTTTCCCCCAGACCTTTAAGAGTTGCTTGGGTATTTGGTGAATCCCTTCAGGAATAAGTCTACGCAGGTGAATAATTCCCTTTTCAGTGTTTTCAGCACTAGAAAAGCTGTTGGTCTCTGAGGGAAAAGCCTTGGAAAAATGCTGGGAAAGGGGATGCAAGAAAACTTGCAGAAATCACATCACTGATATTACTTCACTTCCAGGAAGTACTGTTGGCTTTGGATCACCAAAATCCCTTCCAGTGATCCATCCACTGAGAATTTTCAGAGGTAAAGACCTCATCAATGACGTCTTGGAACCCTTGGTAGAAGTGGATCAGGTCATAGAATCATAGAATGGCTGGGGCTGGAGCTGGATGCAGTATTCCAGGTGGGGTCTCGGAAAGATGGAGTAAAGGGGAAGAAAAACCTCCCTCACCCTGCTGGCCATTCTGCTTTTTGTGCAGCCCGGGATATCACTGGCTTTCTGGTCTGCAAGCACACACTGCTGGCTCATGTCCAATTTTCATCCACCAGAACCCCCAAGTCCTTCTCCAAAGGGCTGCTCTCAATGAGTTCTCCCAGTCTGTACTCATGTCTGGGATTGCCCCAACCCAAGTGCAGCACCCTGCACTTGGCATTGTTGATATACGGACCCCTGAGGGGCCCCTTCTGACTGATGAACACTTACACTTGAACATTGAGCCATTGACAGCAACTCTGTGCAGCACTAAAGTGTTATTATTTGGAAAAAAGAAAGGCTGAATCAGAGTCCGAGTTTAAATAATAAAGAAATGAGTCTGTGTAGAAAGGCTTTTTATTTAAAAAAAAAAATTCAAATTTTTGAAATACAGTGTAAAGTACAACATAGAATTATGTCTGCAAGTCAGCTTATGCATATCATGCCAGTTATTTACATGTAGGTATATACAGAGTGCAGATAATTATTGAAACCACACTACAAAATAAACAGAGAGTTCAATAAGATAATTTAGTAGGACTTTATTAAATATATATATAGTTATTGATTGTATATACTTTCCTATTAAAATACCATATAGTTTCTAAGGTAACCCCTATAAACTCTAATACCTCTAAAATCGTCATAAATATGCTTGAAAAATTGAAGCTATCTGTCCTGTTCAGCTGCTTTGCCCTTTGCTCTAACAGAAACTCTTGTAGTGCTGAGATCATTATGCAGCCTCTAGTGCCAGAACTTTATGACAATTATTGATACAACACTTGCGAAAAGATCAGTTGCAGAATAGCTTTCAGCTGAGACGTCCAAGGGTTGAAGCACCATTCTCTATACTTAACACAGATTATCCTATGGCTTATTAAATACTGCCACATACAGGACAAGAAAAACAATGCTATTATCTTCAGTGACTGAATTACAACATTGTATTAGTAGCTGTTTGGATACCAAGCACCTTATTAAAACAAAACAAAGCAAACTCCCAAAGCCCTTGCAAAATCCTATGCAAAAAGAGACCTCCCGACTTGTACTGATAGAGCCTGATCAACAGTCTGCCTTTTGCACCAACAGTAACTGGAAGGGCTGCATCAGCAGTGGCTGTCAGGGCTGCATGACCACAAAGAGTGGAACTGAACCTTGCTTAGTTTGATCTCTGGTAACTGAATGATTCAGATAAGGCGCTCTGATGAACAACAAAAACAACAAAAGGATAATGCCAAGACATATCACATGTTTTCCCATTAACAGAATATTCTATTTATATTACATTTACTGTATGGGGGCTTCTGGCCAGCGAAACCTCACTATAATTTGCCAAGGGTCTATCTTTGTGCTCACTAGAGCTCTGAGAGTTTCCATCAGTCGAGAAGATCCACCCCAGCCTGAGGATAAGCTTCCTTACTGGGCTTTCTCTTCTTGCTACTCAATGCAAAATTGTACCAACTGCTGCCTTAGGAAAGGAAGTATTAGGAACAACAGGTTTTGGGGGTTCATCATTTATTCTGATCCAACCCTTATTAACTAGAAAATAGACCAGTGGGGAAATGTAACAAAAAGCCAATTACTACCATATAATGCTTTTTTGTTGTTGTAACTATTGTTCTGAACTGCTGAATTTTGCATCCTTTTCTCTTCCTAACATATCTTTCCTAAAGGCATATTAAAATGAATTAATTCAATTACAGGCAAATAATAGAGATTATCAACAGAAAATATATAAAAGTTAAATAAGTTACTATTACTATCATAGAGTAGACTGGTCAGCAAATCTGTGCGTCATTTTTTTCCAGAAATAATCGAACAAATGAACTTTATAGATTAGTTAGGGACTTAAGTGATATCTATGGTTTAATTTAAGAGTTTTGTTACATAGTATTCTAAATGCCAAAATATGGCAAGGACATTTTAATACTGAACTCATAGGAATTACACAAAAAAATATTTTTCATCTTTATCATTAATAAAAAGTGTGAATATATAATATAATATACTTTACATATTTATCATACAATATATCAGTCCTTCACACTATTAATTTGATTCATGTTGTACTGCAACATGTACCACAAGTTTAACATAGAAAAAACATGGCTAATTACTTAAGTGGTGGGTATTTTCACAAGACAAACAGCAATCACAACATGTTATCTACCTCAAATTCTACAGTGATATTCTGAGAAAACTGCTATATCCTTTTAGGAAGGATAATTAAAAAAAAAACTATAATAAAATTAAACTTTGCTTGTAGAGTGACTCTGACTTTCACAAAAAATAGTAAATCAATCCTATGAACTAATTTAGTTCAGCTTGCCTAACTTGCTGGTAAGGCACTATCTCAGTATTATATCGTCATTTAAATTTTACATGGATTTCTGATCCTTTACAAATATTAGAAGGGATTTTTGGCCAGGGCTGAGAGTCTTGTCAGTAGACAAGCCTTGGTGCTGCACTCTTCCCCCATTCCAGTCAGTGAGCACCCAGGTACGTAACTTTCCAGTTCACTGTACAGCTTCTCCTGGAGATAAACTCCCTCTTGGAAAGTCAGGGAAGAGCAGAGGCATCTACAACCCAGCAGTGGAATGATACAGAAAGTGCTTGTTATGTACCGCAGTAGAGAGGACCAGAATAACCCTACTTTCCATTGATACTAAGTGTAATCAAGCATGGGAGGAACATTTCCAGATGAAAATAACATTTTAAAGCTAAGCTACTTTAAAATTATTTATGTGATCACCATGGCTGGTTCAACAGAATAAGAGCCTTGAAAAGTGCACAGTCTTAAAGAGGAAAAGATAGATTTGTTTTGTGAGTAGCAGAATGAATGAGATCCCTTTCTCATGAAACCGCCTTCTGCAACTGACTTGTGTGTCTAATGTAAGATGAATGCACGGCAAAAGACACACCACCTCTCTACAGGGATTCCTCCTTCTACAACCTTTCCCTCAATGCTTACAGGCTCTACTTAATCTGTAACTGAACCTTTCATTTTTATGATTTTTTATACGAACTGAGCATCTTTGAGTCTTCTAGCTTGCACTCAGATCAGCTGGTTTCAAAACATCCTGTTGCAGAATATCCAAACACATGCAAACGTTGTGAGGTTACCTACAATTAGTCTTCTCCTGCTCTCTCTTTTCATTTTGTTTTTGATTTACTCAGACTAAAGCAAAGCAAGTAAGAGCACGCATTTTCTGTTTCACCGTTCCTCAAGAATTTCACAACAATCAAATTCCTCGTAAGAGGCACGAGGGGTCAGAAAAGGATGTTAAACAAAGGTCAGTTTGCCTGGTGCAATTGATAGACCCAGACCACTGCATTTCTCCATGTGGGTGAGGCACGTGCAGGGCCTGGAACCTCTGCTCACAGCTCTGTCTCCCTTTCTACTCCTCTTCCCCTGCAGCAGCATTCTCCTGAGCAGTTCAACAGAGGGAAGCCTTTTGGCACCCTGCAATTTTTGGATTGTGAAATAACAGTAAAAATACAACAAAACCCATGTTGATCTGAGGGCAACAGCAGCTGCAGGCATAGCTTACACAAACAAATGTTGGCTTGCATTAAAAATAAGGCTCAGTCTGGTGAAAAAGTCCTTCTCTTCACTTCCCTTCACGCTCTGGGAAAATTTGACAAGCACACGTGTGTGCCTCCACTGCCTGCGATGAACCCTTCATCACAATGTACTGAATACAGCCTGGTCTTAAGGTGAGGGAAAACATGATTTGGGACCTAATAAAACTGTTTAGGGTGAAGAAAGAACCCAGATCAGTCAGTCACTAATTCAAGGGTCTCTCCTCAACTGCCTTACCCACACTGGCCTGGCTTACTGCCACAGACCTCCCCTCTGAAACGCCACACCATTCTTGAAAGGATGTTCTTCCAGTCTCTCCACTTTCCTGAGTGCCACTTGATACTTCAACTAGCGAGAAGGATCCTGCAGGCTTTTGCCACCAGCCTGAATTCCAACACGGATTTTTTTTTCAGAAATCATGCGCTATACACAAGTAAAGAAGGTTCTGATGTGCTTCTTAATATTGGCAATAAATCTGTTTTTTAATTTAAACCCCCAAAAGGCTTAGAAATAAGCAACTGGTAGATTACTGGTGTTTTTAGTCCTAGCAAAAGTTCTTCCTAAAACATTCTGGAAGCAGTGTACATCTTATAAATCAGCAGAAGTTTATATACTGATTACTGTTATTGAACAAAGAACTAAGACTGAATAGGTCTATGAAACAGTGGATTCCTTCTGTGCCACTAATGCTGAAAAGCTACTAATATGGCGCTTATGTATCTTGTTTTTCAACAGGCCACGGTAACTAGCCAAGTAAGCACTGCATGTTTTCCCTCAAGGTGTAAAAGAAAGAGGTTCAAATTTAGGAAGCTGCTTATATCTTCTTTTCTTTTTTTTTCTTTTTTTTTCCAGGCCCACCAAGAGCAGACAATGGGTATTTACAAAATCTTTATCAACCAAGGTTATTTTATTTTATTTTTTTTCATTTTTTTTTTAATCCCATGTAACGGAGGAACATTTGCCAAATAATTTAGTGGAAGTCAGAAGAAATAATGCTAAGTACTTTTGTCTTATTTGAAATGGAAAAAAAAACTTGAAAAGGACTTAGTTACTTTTTATCTAAGGTTTCAAAACATATTGCTGCTTTTCATTGCTCACTTCATATCTACCCATCATTCCAGATTGAGTATTTCCTTGTTTTCTACTGCTGTTGCTCTGAGATACACCGAGAGTATCTTCCACCTGACTGCTATTACAGAAATACTAGTTATTATTATTCTTATTTATATTGATATAGAAAGGAGGAAATAAATCTAAGAAGTACTTGAATGAAACATTCATTAAACACATCACATTTTGAATGAGCACTTACTGCTCAGGCAGTGTATAATCTGATTTCATTATCAGTTACATAAATTCTATAACATATTGTAATCTCAGTGACTAACAAGTTCAAACTTCTGATTTATGGAAGACTCATTTCTTATTTGAAATGATTAGGACTAATCTCAGAATTGATTTTTCTATGGGAGCATTCAGATCACAATAGAAACATTACTTACATTAGGAAAAAAACCACAATTTTTCATATTAAAAGAAACAGATTGTAAGAAATGTCACAGAGTGCATTGCCTCTAAATTTCACACTTCTCTGAGCAACATCCGAGAACCTGAAGGTCTGCAGCTAAATGGCAACTTTTTTGATTTTATTTCTGTAGTGTTCCTTACCCATAAAAGAAGAACAGAACAACCTTTTGCAAACAATGGAAGTTATTTAAACAGAGTACCGTCTTCAGTACAGTAACTGTTAACTGTTTCATTACATTCTGTTCCGTTGATAGGGAGCTATATAACCTGCAGCTGCAGTATCTGAAGGAAATCTACCACGCTCAGCTAACGGGCTGATCCCATATCTGTGTCAGATAAAAATCATAGTGCTTATTATTTGTTACCATGGATACCATGAAGATATTGCTGTCCACTGAAGATTACTAGAGGAAGACAACATAATTCTCAGGAACGAGTCCTGTTTTGCCTTCGTAAGTTGCTTTTAACCAGCCTGGTTCTACTGATGGATACACTGTAAAAAAACAACCAAACAAAACATATTTACAATAAATTAAGACAGTTAAAAGACCCTACATGTTTCGTATATTTATTTAAACAGCTTTTATTCAACAGCAATATAATAATCAAGGCCAAAGCCGAGAGCTGGAAATGGAATTACATTCTCTTATCTTGTGGGTACCATTCATTTTTGTTTTTATTTATTATTATTTGTTGACTGGTTTGTTTTTCATGTAAACAAAGAATGTAAAACATCTTACCATTGGAAAATATTGCCCCCTGTGGGAAAGACAGCTCATGACTATGCTCAGCCTTACAGGAATACATGGCTTTTGCTTGCCTGAAAGAAAAAGAAATATATATAGGTTTGAAAAAATAAGGAAAAATGTATGAAAAAATGGAGTGAAAACCTAGGAAGTGTAGGAATAATAAGCTGCACAAATACATAATGATAACAACTAGTTACACAGTAGTTCAGAGGAGCAGAATTATAGCAGACAATAACTCCTGGCTTACTGCAGTTATCAAGTATGTTATTGCAGAAAATAGATCAACATTCTACTTGAAATTTAAACAGGAATACAATAACATTAAAAAAAAACAACAAACACTTTTGTTCTAGTTGAAACTGTACTTCAAACATATATAAACTGAGCAAATTCCTTGAAGCAAGATATGGACTGCCTGGAGAGAATTTCAAAGAGATCATCAAGTTATTAAAGGTCTAATGACATGGTTTGTGAGAAAATACAGTTGATTAGTCTACAGGAGAAAATAACAAATATAAGGCAAATATTGGACTAAAAAGAGTAATGTGTCCTCCAGGCTGACTGTGAAAGAGATATAAATTGATTTAAATTGCAGCATGGGAGATCTAGATTAGGTACTTGGAGTGGATTACAGCTTCGGCCACCTCAGATGTCCATAAATAAACTTTGTGCCTAGCTCAGCCGGCTCTTAAGGCCTGGGTTCTGCTATGGTAAATGACTACTTGAGAGTGCAAGGGATGGCTCTCCAGGTGCCACTGCCCTTAGCGAAACCTTCAATTAAATATTTTCTCAAATAGAACCTAGCATGAAGAGACCTAAATGTAGACAGCTACGTTTATCTCTTCATTTATAGCTGTAGAAACCTACTCTTGGTCAGAATAACAAACCACTGGAACTGCTAAGATGCTAAGAATTGGAGGATCTCTGAATTGAAGAATTCTAATTACTAAAGATTCATTAAGAAAGAAAGAAAGAAAGAAAGAAAAAAAAAAAAAAAAAAACACAACAAAACAGCACTATTCAGACATCTGTAAAAGAACTATTTAGATACATCATGATTTGATTACAGAGCAGGACAGATTATCAGTCACCTGGTGATATGGCTTCTAGCACCACGCTTCTACAAAGCACAAAATGAGGGACTGAACATAAAGATGTGTTGCTTAAGAGTTCTCACTAGATTCCTGTGCTTTACCTATAACAGTAATACCTTGACTTTAATTTATATACTGGAAGCAATTTTTGTATGACCCACCAGTTTTTCTGAGTTTCTTTAACCTTATCGGAAAACCACATTATGCCAAGCAAAGACGAACCTGTAGATCATTTCACCTTTGTATGATGGAATAGGGGGCTACCAGGTCAGCTTTCCTTCCAGCCAGCATTTATCTCAATGACCTAGTATGTGACCTTTGGTGAATTTTAAGTTTTTGGCGTACTTTTTGAGAAAGTGTATATGCAAGTGACCTGTAATCTATTCTGTTTTCCTCCCACAACAGTGAGATAACAGCATCATATATCATATGAATGATAGTGCCTTATCATAAGCCTTAGTGTAAGGAAAAGACTGTTTTATTTGTGTACTGCCACTGGACCATGGCTCTTCACTTTGGAAGTTCCACACTAACCAGGGGAGACAGACTGGGACATTTCTTAAAGGGCGCAGAGAGCATCCCTCTACCCTGGCCTTACACCCTGGAGCCAATCAAGACTATCATGTCATGATTAATCTGAATCTCTAAAAAGGTATGAAAGGGGATGCACGTGTGAACATTCAAGAAATGATCTAGTAAATCCTCTCCATGATTTACAAATACTTCCTCTGTTTTGTATCATAAAAACACTACTGTGGTGTGCTGCTACCACATGATTTACATACCACATGATTTAACATACTGTGTAATGAGAAAGGGCATGCAAAATATCAATTATGTCTTGGGACTACAAGGCCATCATATGGGGTTATGTTTTTGGATACTATTGGTTTACTTTGGTGGGGGAGAGAAAGAGAACCAGTTCTAAGCAATGTGTATATACATAAAGCCAGTAATTCCACTTGACCTCAATATCACAAACTACTTCTTGTGTCTTTTTAATTTAGATACAACAAAAATTATCACAAAAAATATTTACTGCCACCACACAACATCCACTTTATATCCACTCTCATTTCTAGAGAAGAAATGAAACCATCAGTTCCTGCATAGGCAAAAAAATTAATTGTGCTCTCCTTTAAACACCAGCATTAATATTCCAACAGGAAGTACAGTTACTGGTTCTGACTGGGACCCTGATCTTACATAGACTCAAGGACTATATATTCACCATGAAATACAGTCACTGCTATGAAGAACTTGCCTTCTACAGTAAACAGGACAGACAGACAAAAAAATCAGTAAGTTTTGTTACTCTACATAATATATATTTATAATATATAATATAAATAATTATACAATATATTATATAAATAATATAAATAATAAAATAAATAAAATATAAATTATTTTAATCCAAGATCATTATTTTATTAAAGTAATTATGAGTAATTAGAGTGCTAAAAATGTTCTATAATATACTGACCCAGACTGTTAACATTCAGAAAACACACAAACAAAACAAAACAAAACAACAAAACACATTTAATTCCTATGTGGCATAATAAGGATTTTTTTTAATGTATAAAACAGCAGAATAACTGTTAATAATGAATACAATGACAATGTTAATCAGATAATCGGTCATGAATTTACTATAACACAGGAACAATTTTGCACTCGATCATATGTGGCACCTCACCACTTAGTGGCATGAGTATTGAGCCAGTTTCCCATGTTAAAAATGGAACATCTGAGTAATACTGTGATATAAGACATTGAAGGCAACTGTAAAACAGAATAGCAATATGTATATGAGGGAGAATTGTCCAAGCTATTTTCAAAATATGGCATGTTTTTTTTAGTGCCCTTAGAAAGTTAGTAAAATGAAATTATCTCCTGTATGCTTGTATGTCTAGTAAACTACTCTGTTTTCAGCTTCTAATTTTTCCTGATCCAAATATGTTTATCTTAAAAGTAAAAAGAAGAAAAGAAAACATGAACTCTGATTTGCTCAGTTCTGGGAAAGAGAAAACTACCCAGCATTTGGCAATACACAGATAGACAAACACAAGGTATAAAAAAATCACCCTCTGAAAAGCTCTGAATTACTGGATTCTTCACATTATCTTCCCACTACCTTGCTCCTAACACAAAGCCTAAGAATATTTACTTATATATTTACTTATACTTCTGGAGCAATTTTCAAGCCCCTGGTTATTCCTTCCACACCCAACTTGAGAACTTAGGTTCTTTGTCTTGCTGCTCACTTCAACCCTATCCATCTAAAAGCAATACTAAGGAAAAGGGCTCACAGACTCCTGGGAAACTTTTTCTGTGCAATTATGAAAATGGATATTGTTTCTTATGGTGTTAGTGTTCTCCTCCCTGCAATCAAGTCTGCTCATTAAAAAGCATGTGATGACATCACCGTCATCTATTGTGGTTCTCTTAAGATGATGCTAACCTTCTGAGAAGAGTGTAATTCATAGTGTTGACTTCAGAGAAAAAAAAATCAGAAAATGGTGCCCACATTTCCTAGAAGTTTCTGCTTTCCATGATTTTTAATGGATAGAATCCAATGGAGAAAAATCAATTTTCCCTTTTACTACCTTTTATAATGTTTATTTTGAGACCGTAATGACAAATTTATACTAGTAGTCAAAGGATTGGTACTCATCAGATCAGAAATTATTTTACTTGACTATACATGGTCAACAACAACTGAGGTACTTTTAATAACCTATTTTAACAGTTATAAATAAGCTTTAAAATTATGCTCCTGCCATAGTAAGTTTTCAGTCTAGAAAGACACAGACAGAAGCCAGATGAACGAATCAGGGAAAACACATGAATTTTTTTCAGATGACTCATCAGTTAATACTATCTTGCAGGAAGAAGAAAAGTTTGTCGACTCGTAGAAATGGTAGACTTATGAGTAAGTAGAAAATGCTGGGCTGGGCTGGAAACAGTATTCCAGTTTTTTAAGGAAATGCAAAATATAGCATGAAAATAAAAACAGAAGTATGACTGGAAATATTTAGTATTTAATCATATGGTTGGGAGGGAAGTATGGAACTAGAGGATTTCATGTTGCCTTTCTATTCCTATTACAGTCCCAGCCTGGTACCCACAGATCCTGCTGCCAAGCCAGGGCTACTGGCTGTCACCAGCTCCTGTTCCCTACTTTTGTATGTATTCTCTTTTAATGAAAATCCTTTATGATGCAGTTTCTCATTTTATGTGCACCTCTAAATCAAAGTCAGTGTTGGTGCATTTTTGTATAGAAGCTGTAATACAGAAATCTCAGGCTAGGTAATGGCAATATTTCTGAATCCAGTAAGAAAATTTCTTCACCTCTTTCAGTCCCCAACAAAGATTGGTCCCAGAGTGCACAGTACCTTAATACCACAGTATGGGAGATGGACAATTAATAAACTTGATGTCAGGAGTTAATGAATGGGATGAATGAGAAGTGAAAGTAACTCTGAAAACAGGAAAAAGAGAGCTCAGGCTGGACAGGGCATTGTATTTTGGTCTTACCTGTCCAATCCTAAAACATGTACCGTGGACTGTCAACCTTTCTCTTTCTGACTATAAAAACCTATTCAAACTGATGCCACTATAAGGGCAAGTGTATACAAAGACTGGTAACAGCCAGCCCAAATAATGACTAATCATTTTAAAAAAGAAAAAAATGTGTGGGGATACAATTTCCATAGTTGAGACAGTGCATTACTCAAAGTCAGAATGAAGTGGTGCAAAGACTACCTGGAAGAAGGAATTAAGTCAGTCCAGGTCACTGTGGTGGTAAAGCACTGAGTCTGAAATTATCTGATGGAATACATAAGACAGTATGAGACTGCAAAGCCACATAGATACTTTTGATCCATCTATTGTACAGGTGATTATGAAATACTGTTTCAGGTAACAGATGCTTCAAGTCAGAATGAAGCTACTTAGATACTACTTTGTAAGTAGTAATGTAAGGTAAGCAGTAGCTATAAATTTAAAAACCATTTATGTATAGCAGCATAAATTACCCCTGCACAGAGGTCAACACAGTCCTGACTTAAATATTTCTGGCATCAGACCAGCTTAAAAACAGTTTCTCTGTCTTATACTCTGCCCTGCATATACTCGTTAGACAGCAGAATTAGGAACACAGAAGGCCTTTCTAGTTGGTGGATCAAATGTAATTATCATGAATTCAGAGCAAAAAAGAATATACTAAGGACTCAACTCAGGCTTCATCTCCATAGCATGCATGAGAAGGAAATATGAGTCGGCTCTGAAATGCAAAATCTCAGTCAGACTTGAGCAGCATTACAGGAACAGCTGAGCTGCTTCTTATTTCTTCCTCATTTTGCTTGCTGACCTCTCATTTTCCATTCTCCTTGTTATTGTTGCTCTTCTGCTTTTCTTAGGAAGGCTGAAGTAGAGGAGCTATTAAGTCTTTCAGCATTTTCTGCTTCCTTATCTGCTCTCCATATCCATTATCAAGCTGCTACATTTTTCCTTTATCAGATTTTGGCTTCTTACATGCTTTTTATATACAGATAGAGATGGCACAGGTTCTGAGGGAACATCAGGATAGAGTTTACAAGAAGAGAGCAATACAAAATGAGAGAAGGAACAAAGGTGGAAGTAAAATGATGCAGTACTGGTGAAGCAGTCATTGCTCTTGGCTTAGGT